ATCATACCAATCACTGCCTTGACACGCCCAAAAATATTTTTCTAAGGTTTTCTTTCAAGGTCAAGGGAAATAAGATTTGAGTTGGCTTATTTCCTCAAGGCCGACTTGCTGTCCTTACTAGGATAAACAGAGTACTTGTAGCTGGCGTATAATTAATTTCAGTTAATTTAACTTCGGCCCTGCTTATCAAAGATTCTGTACTAGCTCAATGGAAGAGCATCCGATCTAGAACTCGGGGGGTCTTGAGTTCGAATATCACCTGGAACTCAGAGTGTTTTCAGAACTTTCGGATGCTTGATTTCCTTTCTTTCAGAATAAAGATACTGAGAAAAGAGATCCCTTCAAGATTAAAAAAGTCGCGCTCTTACGCAATTTATACTCCAGTTGTCCAATCTAAACTGAAATCCCTATTTTACCAGACATAGGACGGATGTCAAGACAAGCAACATGCTGATTTTTAGAACAGAGGATACTTTGAACCAATTTCCGCGTTATTCCAACAGGTTGGATAAATCGAGATTCAACTTGTCAGTGAATGAGGAACGCACACAAAAAGAAACGAAATAGTGTGATTACTACTGATTACTTGTAATACACGCTGTAAGTAATAAAAATTATCGCGGCGACCTAGACTGCAAAACAGTCGGTTTTTCTTCTCAAAATCGGTTTTTGAAGATGCGAGGCATCGGCGTGAGACGTCAGGTGATTCTACATTCTTACTCTGATCACCCTTCACTTTCATCCTCGCTCCAAACCTTTCGTTTGACTGCGCGGGTTCTTCTTCTAGGCAAAAATTCAGGCTCCAGCCGGAGTATTTTTTGTCGACATAATTATTGTGTTAAGCTATCGGAAATTCTGAGTTATCCGGTATGGTATAGACATAAATATTATGGCATCTAGAATTTATACTTCAAAACCCGCCTCAAATGACTTCTATCACCCGTCGAATCCCAAACAATACTAAGTGTTCTCAATTTAAGAGCCAAATTAGAGTTTACTAGACCCAACTAAAATAACAACTCTGACCCAGTCATTTAAAATTAAATTTTAATAAAAATTTCCAAATTTGTTGCTAACATGAACTTAATGGTCTGCACTAAACTGCTGTAACTGCAACAAGAAATTCTCATGATAGTATCACGTTCTACTAAAACAATCTTCAATCTGTAGTCAGTTTCTTGTGCAAATTACAACTAATTTGCTACCAAAGCTTTAAAGGAAATAATTCAAAATAATAAGAAAGCAAGAATACAATGAATTTTGGTTGTTACAGTCAAAATTACATCATAGTAAAAAAGGTACATTTTCTCTGAGATAATTCTCACTTATACTATAGGATAACAGTCACTGTTAAGCCCCAACAAAAAAAAATTAAATAATTTCAGTAAGTTTAATTACAGCATTGTTACAGGTAAATAAATAGTACACAAATATCACTGATAAAAATTTGAAATGCAACGATACAGTCGTGCATATCTTATGACCCACAGCTTCCATCAGTTCACACTCAAACCTCTAGACTACAAGTAGTCCCCCATTTCTCCTCAGGGATAGTAGAGCGTGCGAAACGCGAGCACACGTGAAAATCAGCCCACGCGAGAAAAGGCGACACGTGGCTGAGCCTTTTCTCGCGTGGGGTGATTTTCACGAGCGCTCACGTTTCGCTCGCTCTACTATCCCTGAGGAAAAATGGGGGACTACTCGTAGTCTATCAAATCTCAATACTATGATATGAAACAACAAATTTTAAATGAATATACAAATGAGCTAGACTATGTCGAGAAGTTTTATAGTTATGTACAAATGAACTTCTTTTTGGGGGTTTTACATAAAAAAAAATAAACCATAAAGTTTCTGCAACAATAAATTTTACGCTGTAATTGTATGTCTTTAACACACATAATTTGCATCTCTAACAGATTTATGGAAAACCTTGACACTCGAGATAGGAATTATGGTTAAGTTAATTCAGTGCAGTCATGATTACGTCAACGCATTAATTTTGCATAACCTAAACTGTTATACTCAGTTTACATCTTAAGTTTAGTTCTTACAGATCAAGTTATTGTAATCCATTTGAATGTTCCATGCTGCTAACCATCCAGGTTCCAGGTTAACCCTTTAAGTCCTGATAGTGACCAACATCAATTTTCTCATAACAATATCCAGTAATTGTCAAGAGATACAGTTATGAGAATTTACAAATGATCACCAAAGAGAAAATACCTTGATCTATTATTAAATTCTCTCAACTAATTCTTAAAGGAAATGTATGGAGATCAGTTTGGAGAATTTGTATGTTGATATTCGGACTTAAAGGGTTAAATAAAGTATCATCCCGAGTTTGGGATCATCTCACAAACATCATTTCACAACGATCACGCTTTTATCATAAAAGACCCTCACAAACCATATGATAATTATTTCTAAAAAGCTAAAAGCTCAAGATTGCTTTCACTTATAAAACGAAAAAATGAGATATTTTCAAGAAAGTGGTTTATGGTTGCTCTCTGTAAAAGTGTGCATCTTAACAAATCAAACTATAAGCCCACTTAAATCATTCAAAAGAATAATAATATTACGCATAATAATGGCAAGTGATTAACAGTAATTTTTTTAGACACTAAATCTACAAAAATGTCTTCAAAGTGTAATATCTTGATCAAAATCTTTTACCCTTTTCAGAAAAATGCACTCCCATGAACCATTATTTCTTCATAGAGTGTATTGTTGAGAGGGTTTTCTTGAAAGCATGAGCACTACAGAAAAACATGCATGATGTCTGCTACCTTAAAAATGTTTGAATAATGTATCGTAACCTTACAGCAATCATAAAATGTTTCAAAAAAATTTATTATTCACAACCAAAATTGATAGAGTTTCAGAAACTTATTCTCATACGATAGTACTTCCTGCAAGAAACGTATTTGACAAAATGATGTTGATGCCCAAGCAGAATTCACATTATGGTATTTGGACTCAAAAAAATATTCATGTATGACATGTAACTTTGCTTGCACATGCAAAAGTGACCAATATTCTATAACTTATTTAATATTAAGTGAAAGTTGCAATGTAAGCCAAGCTCCAAATAAAAATTACTAATTTGCCATCTCTCTCATCTGCAGTCCATGATCAGTATTTGTATGAGCCCTGTGAACAAAAAAAAATTTTGCCTTTAATGGATGATTACGAAGCACTATTTCTGGAATAGCCTGGAAAAACAGCCGACTTCGCTACTCACCACTAGGGATGTTTCACCAGGAGAGATGTCTGTGCCTCAACAACAGAAATTTCATAATGATGACATAAATCAATGTTTACATAATATTTTCCTAATCCTGTAGCTACAGGGTACCAAATGTACATTGTACATTTGTTCAATTTTAAGTTTCTCCTGGTCACTTTTGAATGAGCATCAGCAAAACACAATCTATTCCACGAATATTGCCTGTTTTGTAATAGATTCATTGCATTAACATTTGACCTTTGTGGCCCTTTTTCTTTTGTATGTCATTCACAAACTATAGCTAAAACAATGTATTATTAACTACTACGTTGACCAATCAGAGCTCCTGACCTGATTTCGGACAGATTTTACAGCATCAGTATGGAATTTCTGTCACTGAGACACAAATATCTCTCCTGGCAAAACATCACTAGAGGCGAGAAGCGAGGAGAGATGGTTGCTTTTTCAAGCTCTTTCTGGATGGAGTTAAAAATTTTGTCTCTGTTTTCAAAACGGTTCTTGCCTCAGAGAAGCACTCATTTTGAGCTTATTTTTTGAAAAATTAATCCATGATTTGGACACAGGAAAGCAGGATGGCTAACAACAGAGAGAGTGGAAATGGATAACAATAGTTTAAATTACAAGAATGGAGATTTTGGGAGAGTTCTGTGGTTCAGTTCTTTAATATCATATAATAACAACAAGTTGCACTAAGCACTTGTCATTACAGCTTTACTTCAACGTAAGGTTTACAGACAAACTGTTCAATAAAACAGGACGCTTAAAAAGGTTTATTTTATTATAATGAGCATTTTTTTAACATTAAGAGTTTAGGTCAGTTAGTGACTTCTTTTTTTTAACAAGCAGTGCAGTTTATGTTTAACCTAATAAGACATATGTGCATCAAAACTATAATTATAAAACTGTATTTCCCCCCTTTAAGTATATAATGCAACATTTTGACAATCTGAGTCTTATTTCTGATCTTACCTTTTTCCAAACTTGAGTATAACCAGAAAAGCCAATCCCAGCACAAGACAGAGAACACCAACAGTGATATAAGCAATACCAAGAAAAGGATTCTTGCCACCAATCCAGGATGTTGTACTCAAAATCACTCGCTTCTTACCATCAAATGAAGTCACAGGAAAGTCTGCACATATTGTTCTCAAGTAAAGGACATTGAATAACATGAATGACACACCTGTATCACAACTGATGACAGTGTACCTGTTTACTTCACTTTTAGTGCAACAAAAATTAATAATTTATAAAACTTAAAGTACAGTAATATTCAGGATTTTGCTGTTTCGTGACTGCGACAGATCTTCTGCTGAATCTTAGAAAACCCCAGAGATCATGAGAGATTGCAAGGCTCAAAATAAATCAATTCCAACTTGTTCTTTGGGCAAGCAGCTCTCACTCCTTCCTTGCCCGGCACCTCTTCTTACTCGTCTTAGTTAATGATTTACTTAAAGGATGGCTTGCCTGGACCCTTGAGCTTTTAAAGGTACTTTCCCAGCAACAAAATCTAATGATTCCGGGCTACTGGACGGGACTTCTTTCAAGCTCTGGATTGTCTCCAGATGTGCTTGTGGTTATTTTCTAGTACAAAAGGGGGGCATGTGTGGCTGAGCAGATCTGGAGAAAAGGAACTTTACTCCACTTTGTCTCTCTTCACCCAGGTGTATAAATGGGTACCGGTGACAAACTGCTGGGGGGAACCCTGCAATGGACTAGCATTCCTTCCAGGGGTAGTATCAATTAATATTCCTAGACATGCTTTATGCTATGGAAACTGGAATATGCTCTGGACTGCGGTTTGTTTCTTTGGCTCATGTGTACCTTTACCCTCCCTTTTTTCAAAAGTTATTGCTAACTTATTGCCAAGATAACGAACAGTAAAAAGCTGAGTTTAAAGATGAGAATAACTTTGGAGATCCCACCACGGGTGAAATCTGCGACAGATCAAACCAAACAGAAAAGACATCAGAAAAACTCCTGGCTTCTCTGACTGATCCTGTTCATCCCAGATGATTGGGAATATATACTTTGACAATTCTTCCTTCATTAGTTGACAAAATCTGGGGCAATCAGAAAAATGAGAAATCCCCAGTTGTCTGGCTGGGATCTTAACAACCAGATGAAAGAAAAAAAAACCTACACCAGAAAATGTAATTTTTCCTTTTTTTCCTTTCTCTTTACAGATGCTCCAGCCTGCTTACATGTTTTTACTTCTTTGTTCAATCCCTTTTTAAACAAATAGTTCAGTGACTTGACATGGCTGACCAATTTTACCAGCCAAACTTAATTTTCTTTCTGGTCATGTCAAACAAAAAATACTCAAATATTCAAGCACTTAAGAAACTATTTTCTTATTTAATATTTGCCACAGAACAATTCAGTGGATAAGAGGATACTGTATTTGATATCAAGCTCATATTGCCCCTTTGGCAGACCATTCTTAAATTCGCCCGTGAGGATAATCTTTCGGTAAAGCTTGCGGAATGTTGAAAATGCAGCAGTCCTCATCCAAACAATGAAGTCTTGGTTCTTAAAGCCATTATCATCTGAGTTGTTAACATCCAGCTCATACACAGGTCTTGGCCAGTTTGGAGGTTTAGCAAAGTCCTTGAAAGCCTCCTTCAAGTTTCCTGGGGGATTCTTAAACTTCACTTCTCGGTCAGATTTCCAAGCGATATTCTCGTAGGTCAGGCCAACAGGGACTTGAGTATTAGAATCCTTATTCCAGGAGAGTGTAAAACTGTCTGTATTAAAAACGACAAGAAATAAGACATTACTATGAATGTTCCGTATTCGCCTTGTAATGAATTAGGAGCATTGAGCATCACGCCAGCATAATGGCTGCTAAGGCTTGCCACTTGTCTAGTATCCATTACAGTTTCCAGTAATTGACGAAATACATTGTTGTGTTCCTGACTTATGGAGGTATTTTTTGGCTGCAGGGATGGGAAAGGGCATGTAGCCAAGATCAGATGAAGCCTTCAGTATAACAAACAATTATTTTTCTTTACCCCACTAATAGAAAAATAATGGAAAAGAACCTCGATATCGTGAAACCTTGTTATAGCACACAAATTTTGCCAGTCCCTTGGCCCCTCGTTATATATAGGATCCACTGTAGAGCACTGTCAGCCCTGTTATACTGATGATTGTAATGTAAAAGAGAAATACATGTATAAAACAACCTACCGTTAAAAAGACTGTTTGCAATAGCACCACAAGGAGCAATAGGAGTGCCATTTACTTTGCTAAATGGATCACAGTCACTTGACACTGTACTCTTTAGTTCGCCATGGAGCTGGAGATCATCTCTTGACCTCACATAACGCCGGTGGTTCTGCACAAAAACAAAATCACGTTGCGGTCTAAGCACAACCCCAAATAAATATTGAACACTTTAGATCCTAGTATGAACCTGCTGTGGTCCACTGTCATTTCTGCTTCTATGGGCTAATGATCTATATGAATGGCTCTGTACTAACTGCAAAGACCTCTAACAAGCTCAGTCTGTTTAAGGCTAAGTTCTCACCTGGTGTCATTGAAGAAGAATTTTCAGTGAATGTTACTGTCAAACCAACAAAATCAGGAACACTTGAAATATTTCAGTTATTTTCATTGTGTTGGGACCAATCACAGCAAAGAGTAAGACATGCAAGCAAACCACAAAACCACAAACTAATTCACATTCTTGCTTGTGGTTTAGTTTTGTCACAGCTGATTGGCTTATTTCTTGCAACACAATAAATGGTTTTGTAAGTTTTGTCAGTTTGACAGTAATGTTAACACACCCTTTTCTTAAAGTATGTCACAAAAATAATATTCCAAAATGTTCCCATTGCAATCCAGTTTTATTCTGACTTGGTTTAAATTTCATTTGTTTTAGGGTATGATAATGTATGATAATGCGTCTGAAACAAAGAGACTTGAAACATTGGTAATGGTGGTCATGTCACCAATGAGAGGACAACAGTGGTTCCTACAACATATACATAATGGCTGGTCAAGACGTCTTTAGTTCTCTTTCTGCAGATGTAATTCAGGGCCACGTTGTTCAAAGCAGGATTACGATAACCCAGAGTTATAGCAAAAATTACCTTCACAGCGTGCAAAGAAAGTATTGTCCAATAGCCCGGGGCTAGTGGATTTTGCTATTGGGCTAGTGAATTCTGTTCTTTACTTGTCCGATGGACAAGTGAAGTTAAAATTCAAATTACAGAAGAACTGTGGGATCAATCTGCTCATCAAAATGTTTTTGGGGCTGGTTGAAATGATCTTTGGGCTAGTCAATGTTAGCTTCAGCGTGCCAGAATGGCAAGCTCTAAAAATGACTTTCTTTGCACCCCGCTTCAAATCTGAACACCTGCAAAGCAGATGTCTGTCCACTCTTCTTGCCTACAATTTGATGTTTGGACACTCAAAAAAAAAACAAATTAAAATGAACAGAGAAAATGACTTTTTAACAAAAGAAACAAGAACCAGTATTAAACTTTAGCCTCAGTTTGCCCTTTAATCCGCCTTTGAACTACTGGGCCCACTGAGATCTTTAAAGAAACTGGTGAGCTATCAATAATTATGATTAAACATTATTTTTCACACCTGATAGAAGTTTGATAAGCCATAATACATAAAGACAGAGCCTTTAAATTCTTCTGTCAGATTAAACTTGACTTTACAGGTACAGGTCTTGCCAGTATTTGTGACATTTTCAAGGAATTGGTCACATCTTTGTCCATCTGAAGCTTTACATTCTGTGTATTCCACAGTATGTTCTTGCACCTAGCAGTGAAATTTAAATAATTATCAGACACAGCAGCTGTGTATGTACAATAATATTAGACTACATGTACAATATTCTTCTTCAAAGAACAAATTCATGATTAAGCCTTTTCTTTTTCTTGGTATATTTACACCAGTCATCTTGCTGTGCTTTTTTGCATCTCCTAAAAGGAGATGCCCTGCCCAAATGAAGAATGTTTTTCAAGCTAGAGGTATCTAAAATGGTAATGATTCCAGAAGCTTATGGCAGGAAAGGGTTAGGGTATTTCAAAGGGTCCATCAAAGTATCTGGAAGAGTCACATTAATGCCAGGCTGATCCATTAAACAAAATGCCTCTGTGAGTATATGAAAGGGGTACCATGTCTAGCACACTGTGTCTACATTGCTGTGCTCTAGAACTGCCTAGAGGCCCCAGTCTGGCACCTTTCTTTCGCTCTTGGGAAACTAGGAAATCTCAGCTTTTGGATAGAAATCATATAGCACAGCCTTGATCTATCAATCTTTAGTATTCACCAAATCAGGGCATTTTCGCACGTTCTGATTGGCTCACGTAACTCGGAATATCCTTGGATATTCACTGTTTTGGAATGGGATTCAAAATGGCATCTTCCTTCGCAACAGTTTCGAAAGATGCAATTTTAGCGGTAAATGAGGCAGCTGTACCAACAAATACCGAGAAAGAGACAAAATTTGGCTGGCTGGTGTTTACAGGTTGGTAGGAAAAACTTTTCTAACTGAATTTGTAACAAAATCATAAAACACTGTCAATTGAAATATAAACAAACTCTAACTAAGGGACGTCTTTTATTAACAGAAAAATCCTATTTTGATTTTTATCCAACTGATTTGGTACATACTAAAACAACTATCCCCCTCAGGGTTGGTTCATAGCGCTAGATATATACCTCGACACTTCGTGTCTATATAACCACCGCTATTCACCTGCCCTTTGGGGGATGGCTGTATAACATTTTTTCTTACTCCCAGAGGAGGAACGAATAGTATCCCATGATGCATTTTTCCGGAAGCATCACGCAACATCGCAGTCATAGCAGATTCCATCTTGAAATAAGGTCGTTTTCTCGTCGGCTTTTTTCTCACTCGATTTCCAGTAAAAGTAAAAAATTACATTATTTCGTTATTTGACATGATTTCTCCGATTTGCAATGGCTTAAGAGCGAAGTTTCCACTTAGAAACATTTATTTTCACGGTTTCAATTAGTCTTCCCATCACAAAGTGTTCAGTGACCCACAACCAGGTCATGAATATTCAAGAGTTTTTGGAATATATGTTGAAATCTTCCAAATGTGGACCTCACGCCAGCAAAATGAAGTCCTGAATATTGTACAGGCCAAGAAGTACCCAGAAGTACCCACATTTTGAAGACTTTTTTGTCGACCAAAGATGGCTGAAATTTCGAATCTTTTATCACATTTCAACGCCATGTGTCATAATATATGTTTAAAGCCTGATGAAGTCTACAATCTGTTGGGCGCTTTTGAGAGCGCTTTATGCCGAAGCAATCACTTTGTATTTTCAAAGAGGTTATTTTTATAAGGAATTTGACTATAATTATTTTAATTCGAAGAAGGAGCGGTGTATAATGGTGTGTTTCAGTGTGAAAAGAACCCAAAGGAAGGTACCACGCAGCATGCAAGCCGGCACAACGTAAACTGAAGCCTGCTCAGAATTTGAAAAAAAAAAAATCAGAAACTTTATTTATTCAAAAGAACAGATCAGTATTCTGGCCAGAAAATTTCCTTGAAGATTGCTTGAGTCAGTACCGGGTAGACTGTGCTTCAGAGAATTGCTGAGAATTGTTTGTCGCATCGATAGGTTAAATTTTATTTGTAACTGCCATTGTAAACTTCAGCTCCTTTGAGCGCGATGCTGTAATAAATTCTCCTTTGGTAATTAGCTTCACAGCGTAGCGGATGTTTTGTTGGAACCACTTTTATAGATCAGTCATAGTTTTGGTTCTCCTCTGGCCTGGGTTCTCCTAGTGAACCTAGCGAAGCTTATCAATTGCAAGTCTTATAATTTGTGTTTACAGTGCGACCGAGCACGGCACAAGTAGTTCTCGACAGATCAGTGAAATACATGTAAAACCCTTCTTCAGTCAAAGCAACGCTGAAATTCTCCTTTAAAGCACAGTGAATATAATCCAACTCGATAATCTCAAAAGCAGAAGCTGCTGAACCGAAACATGTTTGGAAACCATCCACATCGAGCACTGCGATCGATGTTCACTTCGCGCGTGCTGAAGATTACTGATCATGATGTGTCACGTACGCAGTGATAATATAACATGAATCGAGGTGCATCATGGGATACTATTCGTTCCTCCTCTGTCTTACTCCTTAATTATTTAATCATTTGTTTTTTAAATGCAATGTTTTAACAGGCAGGTCCAATTTGGCTAACAACGCTTGCTTACCATGTAGATGGAGGCCTTGCAAAGCTAACATCTTTTATCAAGAAAGGGTTAGGATTTGGACTTCAGGACACAAAACTTTGTTATTCAAGTAAATCTTCATTTTAGGAATGCACATGATTTGCTCAGACAAGAATAAATACCAACTCTTTCTGTATTTTAAACATGCTCTTAATTAAAAATAATTTGTTCCCTTAAAATTTCTTGCTTCAAATAATGTAGATGATATGCATAAACGGTGGAATAAAAAGAAACAGAGAAAGGGAACTTACGAACAGGAATAATGTCATATGCGGTCTTACTTAACGAGCAACGAGGTTAATTTTAGTATTAAAGTAGACAAATTAAAACATGTAACGTACGTATAAACGCTTGATCAGCGTAACACCTTTCTAAATGCAGGGAAAAAAATATCACAGGTTTAGTTTACTTTGTTGTTGTCGCATAAACAAAGCTTAAGCTCACATTAACAACCTCCTGCGTCAATTAAGAAATATTGGCTACGAATTCAGAATAACGACTACTGATTTTGCGTTTTTGCCAACTGCAAGTACAGTATATTTCCAAATAATAATTTCAACAGGACTGATCGTACTTACTTTGTCAGAAGTGACTAAGAGAACTGCTCCGATTGGAATAAACACAACGCCGATAACGAAAAACAAAGGCAGTGCCGTCGAGGCTGTCAGAATCGGTTGCCATGCTTTTAGTCTTTGCTGTTTGAAGTTCGTATCTGAGGCAGAAACAATTTTTAGGAAATGATAGTTAGTAAGATCGCCAAAAATTCAAATTAAAGAAATCAGAAACGCTCACTTGATGGCTTTTTCGTTTTCTTCCTCTCTCTGGTTGAATCCGCCATCTTGTCATCATCAAACTGCACCTGCCCAGACCTCCAAGCCCGTAAGGGTGCGTTCTCGGACGGGGCTCAAATCCAAAACATCATAATGCACCTAAAGAAACAGTCCTGCGTTGCGTGACATGTAAATGCTCCATGCAGTAGGAAGGAAGACAACGTTGTTTCCAGGAAAGTGCTGTCCGTGCAAAATGAGTTTGGACGCGGCAGTGAGCGTTTTAACGCGGGCTGTAGAGCTGGATCAATCCCAAAGCTATTCAGAAGCCTTAGTTTGCTATCAAGAAGGCCTTGCACTATTGATGAATGTGCTGAAAGACACAAAAGATGACTCCACAAGGGTGCACTACCGTGAAAAAATGGAGTCTTACATTGCTCGCGCAGAAAAGCTGAAAACGTTAGTAACAGAGCAGAAGGAAGCAGGAACTTTTCACGAGAAAATCAACATAAAGGACGGGGCAGTTGGATATAGTTACCGACGAGTGTTTGACAAATATTTGGAAGGAAACATCACGGAAGTTGTTGTCGAAGATCCGTACATTCGAAACGTGCATCAGATATACAACTTCCTTCGATTTTGTGAGCTACTTGTTACTGTTGGCACAGTGCGAAACATCAAACTTGTAACTGGTGAGTGATATACAAAAAATTACAATTTCAGAATTGCCAACCCAGTGTCGAACGTTCACCGAATTTGGGAGGGGAAGATCTAGAGCTGGCACAAGTACAGTAGTGAGTTGTGGGGGAGACAATTTTCCACGGGCGTAGAGGGAGGGTGAGTTTTCGGTGTTCTATTAACCTGTTAGCGGTGTCCTTAACAGCTGAGGTAGGTGGTTGATGTATGGGAGTATATATTGTACCCACGTTGCATCCCAGGGAGGGGGGAGGGGTACTCCGGATTCCAAGTAAGGGGATGATTGAATTGGGGCAACAATGAAAACCAAAAAAAATCCCTCGGACCTTCAATAATACCCATAAAATTCCATGGACCAAAATTAACCCGCAACAGGAGCCTATGGGTCATGGGGGGGGGGGGGGTTTTGGTTCCCTCCCCCCAAAAAATCCCATGCAAAATTTTTTGCGTTTAAAATCTTACAAGCATAAAAATTAAAGAAAAAAAACAAAAAAAAAAAAAAAAGAGAAAAAAATATTGAAAAAAAAGAGGGCGGGGTACCCATACAGTGA